TTTATGGCTGAGTCATCTTCCAATATGCAAGAGCCACAGGATCCTTGGCCAGGTTTTACTGATGATGGCAGGAGACCGAGAATCATTTCTGTCTCCTGCTTCTTCCAGAGAGTGAGCCCATCCAGCAAGGGTCTCTGGACACTGGATGGACACTGCGGGCTGGGAGTTTCTCAGATGAGTGTCTTTCCCCATCTGAGCAGCAAACCTGCTGGTTTTGGCTCACCGTGACCTCAGGGCTCATCTACATACAGCAACAGTGAGAAAGGTAGCCAAGGCCACCTGCAGCCTCTATCAGACATCCTGAGGGAGTGTTGGGCAGTCATGGAGAGGTGACAAGTGGCCTGAGTGAAGGGGAGTGTGCCTGGGTGCAGCCTAACCCAAGTCCCGTCTTCAATTCCAGTACTCAGTTTTGTAGAAGCCCTTCCCGACGACTTAGATCCCCGCTCACTGTGAACCACACGGGCGGGGGAAGGGCCCCCACTCTGTTGCTTCCTCGGCTCTGCTCGCAGTAGTTATTTGGAATGAGGCTCTCTGCCCAACTCCAGATTTGTTTGACTGTTGCTTCTCTGCAGGTTTGAGTCCACCTCTAGTAACAGGGGCAGGCGCAGAAATAAAACAGCCAGTCCAATGATAGAGGCCAGACTCAGTGCTTCTGAGTCCTTATAGAGAGAGCCTTTAAGGATCAAATGTCCTTGTCCCAGAAGGCTTGGAGAGGTGTCACAGCAGTAAGGGTAGGTATGAGGGGAGTGACATCAAGGTTGCCCAGAGGCTCAAAGCACAGCCTCAAAGTGTCCAGTTTCGTGAAGCAAGCAAGGCTAACTTTTTTTTTTTTTTTTTGTGTGTGTGTGTGTGTGTGTGTGTGTGTGTGTGTGTGTGTGTGTGTGTGTGATGAAGAGGGCTTCAGGAGAGGAGTCCCAAGCCAAGCTGTGTCCTGATCCAGATTTGCCCAAGGCCCCACCCAGTCCTTAGGATTAAGGGATCCACTGTGAAGTTGGTAGGATTAACTGATACCTCTTGCAGAGGACAGAGTGGCATCCAACAGCCCAGGTTCCTTGTCAAAAAGTGTAGAGGGTGGGGCAGGGAGTTGGGGCCACACCCTAGCCTTGGCTCAGACTCTTGTCAGAAGCTACAAGAACCATCTAGAGATGATGCCTACAGAGGCCCTGAAGATGGCAAGGAAGGAGGGACTCTGGAACCTTCCATCATTCCCTTTGACCCAGTCAAGGTTTGATCTCCAAAGAAACAGGCAGAGACTAGATCTGAGAAGGGATGCTCGCTGGGGGAGGGCCAGCACCGAGGTGTGTGCTTTATGAGGCTGACTTTAATGATGTAGTTGAGTTCCTACATGCAGAATTTACTGCGTTTGGCTACAGGAAAGGTCTTATTAGAACTGGACCCCAGAAGTGAACAGGGCAGTGTTTGGCATGGCTGTGCATACATAAGAGATAGGCATCTAGAAGTTCTGGCAGAAGATGAGGTCTTAAAGCTAAGAACGCCCGAAGGAGGGATGTGCCTCTTTTCCTGGAGGCACGGACAGATAGCTATCTTGGGCTTGAGGAGCAATGTGGGAAATAAGGCCAAGAGCCAGCTTCATCTGGCTGCTGCAAGGCTGGCACTTTCTCAGGTGAGATCCACAGGGTCAGGCCTCAGGGTGGGGGGTCCAGGGGGTGGTGTCCAGCAGAGATTCTAGTAGAAGAGCTGGGGGGTGGTTCCTCACTACCACCCAGCTGCAGAAACCTTTGGTTCACACTTCTAAGCTGTAGGAAGAATAGCCAACATTCCACCCTCTAGTGCTGGGGGAGAGGGGGGAACCTGGTGCCTGAGGCATGTGTCTCTCCTTCCCTCCTCCTCCTGATGCCCTATGACAAGAGGCTTAGTGCTGTCCCCAACCTCCACCACTGTCAACCGTTTCTGGAGAGAGGCCAAGGACTTACAGGTCTTCAAGGGGTCAGAGATACATGCTTAAACACCCTGCCCCAAACTAGAGGATGACCAGAAGAGGCTGTGGCACACTGTGGCTTCTCCCCTCGGGTCTTAGAGGCTGTGCAAGGTTCTTGGGATCCCCACTGGCCCAGATCTCCTGCATCTATTTTGTCCTGACAATGAATGGCTGGGCTGGGGACATACCTAGACCCTTGTAGTTCCTACTCTCAAGATACCAACAGGATTTCTCTTATGGATGCCTCACCACCTGTGCCTCATTGGCCCTAATGAGCAACAACTGGGTTTTCTATCTAGCTGAATTTGATGGTCTCAGCATAGCATTTTGACTTGAATTGGGGGGGGGGCAGGCAGGGAGGGGGATGTATGTATGTGTGTTTTTTTAGGATGACCGCTTTCAGCTGGAGAAAACATCTGCTAGATAGTGCCCTTTGACGCTTGACCCTGTCGTTTTCCTCCAGGAAGGGAGTACCATGGCACCAGCTCCAGGGCTTTGTAGACCATCTTCCAAACTGCTTCTTCCAGCAGTCAGACCTAAGGGGGAGCCGGTGGAGTTGTGGAATCTACCCAGGGTCTGATTCCCATCCTCCACCTCATTAGTGGCCTAAGGGACAAGATGTTGGCTGATCTAACTGGCTTTATTTCTTTTCTGAGGGCCAGCCTGAAACAAGCGACAGAACAGGGAAGAGACTGGAGTCTGATGCAATCAAGAGCAGTATTGGCATGGTGTGTGAATGCTCAAGCAGTTAAAAAAAAAAAAAAAGCCAGACGACCAAACCTGGCTGGGCCCATGACGTGACCCACCCAAGGTGACTGTTAACCACCTTTTGCATGGTTAAAATGGCGTCTTCCAATCATCAGCCTTGCAGAACTGTCTGCTCCCATAATGCACCTGCCATCATGCTATAATCCCACAGGACAGAGAAGGGGAGAATTCCCACCCATTCCTGACTTTGCATTGCCCTATTGAACTCACCATGGATCCTCCCTTTAAGTCTGCCCATAAAGCAAGCTACCCAGGGTCCCTCAAGGTGCTTCTTGAGGCGTCAGCACTCAGTGCTTCTCTGTATTGGCCTTCTTTCCAGGTAGGAGCTTTGGAGCTTTCTTTGATGGAGTGGAGGACCTGGACCCTGGGTAGAGATCTCAACATGGTCTGTCTCTGTGTCCTCCCCAGCCTTTACCCACCTGCAACAAACCTGCCAGTCTGGCTGGCCTGAAACGTCTGCTCCTGCGCCTGCCTCTCCCACTCTTAGGGTCAATTCCCTTGAGACCCTTATACCAGATGGCTGAGACGATGCTGCAGCATAGCAACACCCCACCCCCTCTCCATAATCCTTCAGAAGCTCTTAATAAATCCTGATCTGTTCTCATTTCAGTCACCTGCTTAACACTTGGGGAAAAAAAACAGCTCTTCAGTCTCCAGCTGGGCAGGCCCCTCAGGGGCCCCTGCAAGATGTCTAACCCAGAGCTATCAAATTCACCTCTGGCTCTTCACCCTTTATCCTTCCCCAGGAGCTCCTTCAAGACCAGAGGCTGCATGCTATGCACAAGTCAGTAGTGCTGGGATGTCTGTGGAAACAGGGAGTGCATGGCCCACCAGGGAAGCTTCACAAAGGCCATGTCCACTGGCCCTGCACTGTCCACTCTGGATGCCTTAAGTGTACATGCCTGGTCTATTAAATGGCTTAAGATGATGCCAGTACCCAGCTCACTGTGGGCTGAGTAAGTGGCAGCCTGCAGTTGGGGTATAACACAGCCAAGGCTCAAGTAAGACACAAGGGCTGAGTATGTTGAGGTCAAGAATGTGGGGTTTATTTGCAGCTAACCCCGGGAAGATGATCCCCTTCTCTAGGCACACAAGGCTACCAGCTCAGTGTAGGTATCTTCAGGTGCTGGAGGGCAGTGGGCTGGCAGCATTGTGGGAGCTTGCAGGGTACCTGTCTTGGTTCAAGGGGCCACATGAGCTCACTGAATGGGGATAAGGTCACATGTATTTGATGTCAGGCCACTCGGCAGCCCTGCCATTACCCATAACTAAGCAGACTATTAAGTCCTGTATAGGCACAGTAGGCAGCATGACTGGACTGTGGGGGGAGGGGGCTGGAGCAGGCCAAGTGGGGGCCCATAAAAGGCAGGGCGTGTTTGTGCCCATAACCTTCAAAGACAGCTTAGGGAGGCTCAAAGCCTTTGAAGAGTGGTTTCTAACTTAACTCTACGACAGGAGAGGATGGTATGAGCCACTCACTTGCCTGTGGACATAGCTGCCCATAGGTCTCCTAAATGGGGGAGCGGGGAGCTGCACTGTGTGGGACAGGCAGGCCAGAGACCAGGCCCACACCTCAGAGGTACCAAGTTTCTAGGTAGGTACCTCTGATGTGCAGTTCCCAACCTGCACTCTGGGATGCTCTGTGCTGCTCAGAGCCAAGAATGCCTTGCTGAGGTCCCAGAAGCCCTGGGTCCTGAAGCTCTAGAGGATGCCAAATGCTCCCAGATTTATCCACACCAGCCATCAGAACCCCTCTGCTTTTCAAAGACACACTCTGTACGGTGACATCTGGAAGCTGATGGCTGGTCATGAGGACCTCAGCACCCAGCAGGTGTGACCTGGAAGATCAGACCCAGTCGAGGTTCCGGGACAGAGGTGGGGTCTGGCCTCAAGGGTCCCTCTCCCACAGATGCTAGGATGCAGAGAGAAGTGGTCCTAGGTTCTGAGCCTTGAACTCTAACCTGTCCATGACAGATGAGGGGTTATGAGATGACATGACCTGCAGTCACTACTCCCATGCCCCTCCCCTTCCAGAGATGGCGCTCACAGCACAATTGGTACAAGGCCCCTCTAGGCCAAGCCCCTCCCACCTAGGGGCCTCCAGGAATCTTCTCCCTCCTGTGACCTTAGTGTGTCCCTGGCTCCCTGGCTTCCGTCCAGCCTTGTCACCCTCAGGGGGCTGGTGAGCAGAGGAATGTAGGGCTGTGAGAAAGGGGTGGGCTGAGAGGACAAAAAGACGGTTCCCACACAGGGAATCTGGCATTGAACACAGAACAAAGAAGACCATTAGCAATTTAGAATTCCAATAGCATTTTTTTTAAAAAAAAAACAAAAACCGAAAAAGTCCCATAAAACAGCAAAACCCCACCCCCCCGCTCCAGCCCAGTGTAACAGATTAGCCATTAATACAAGAGTAAAAGATGTTACAACCACACCACTAACTCAGGTGGACAGCAGATGGACCCAATGTGGCAGGAACACCACCTTTACACACCACTCAGGCACTGACCGCTGACATAAGCCAGGTACAGGTGTTCTCTGGGTCAGTGACATGTCAGGACAAAGTACTGAACAGATGGCCGTGTGGTCAGGGACTGCTTTAAGGAAAAAAAAAAAAAAAAAAAAAAAAAAAACAAAACCCCAAAACCCTGCAGGTGGGAGACCCCAGGGCA